GTAAGATTTGACGTAGGCTATATCAGAAAAAATTAAGGGATCCAGGTAAGCAAGGATTTAAGTCAGTCGTTGGGACTGGGAAATTTGAAGTCTCCATCTTTGGGCTGTGCAAATTTGTATCTATATAGGCAACATACCAGACAAGAAGGGAAAAACCTGTACCCTGCAAAATTGTAGTATTTGCTGACTGTACAAGGAAAGGAAAAAATAGGAATTCAGGTGAGAAATCAGTTCAGGAGTCCGCCAAATCCAAAAGAGGCTTTTCAAGATTTTCAATAAGCGTCATTGCTTTGGCTCGTAACATTCCCAAAGGTACGTCCTTGCTTCCATGCAGACACAGCAAAAGCAGGGCCACTCGACACAATATAAGGCGGCCCTCAGCGAATTCAAACATTATTTCTTGAACAGTGTCCTGTAAGAACAGAAGAAACAAAGCATGAAAAAACCTGTCGAAGACAAAACAGAGATCACCAGAAACAAGTGGTTGAAAAATGTATAAGTTGTAAACCATGATGGGAACTCGAGATAGCACAAGGGTTAAAGAGCGAACTTGTTGATTGGAGGTCCGTGCTCTTCCCTAATCAACCGCCATCGCGCTCCTGAACGTAAGAACTTACATCTGCGCTGTTCAAAGATGGCGGTGAATTCCACAACCAGTGTCTGTCTAGCTTACTTGTGTCTACCTGGGAGGAACAGATCGTTCCAGATAACTGGGGTGAGCCGATAATAGAGCCCATTTTCAAGAACGGTACTCGCAGTGAAAGTAGTAACCACAGAGGTGTCAGCTAGACATCCGTTGTGACAAGGCTTCTGGCGTCACTGAATGGCAGCACCCGTGAGCATCTTTCGATCGGGTAGAGGCTGCTTTGACTAAATCTTCACATCCAGGCAGGTGTTAGAGCAACACCATACGGAAAGGCGACCCACAATCTTGGTATTTCTTGACCTCAAGCGTGCGTTCGATTCTGTCTATCGGTCAGTGCTGTTATCCAAACTTGCTTTCTTGCCTCATAAGTTTGAACTTCTGGAGGTGTGAGAGTGTATGGTGAGCACCCCAAAAGCTTTCCTAAAAAAACGGTATCCGACAAGGAGGTCCACTCTCCCCATTCTTGTTCAACTTCATCATTGAGGTAAAAGCCGGAAGGTATTCAGAACCCCGGTGTTCAGACTGTCTCTGCTGAGAATCTTGTCCATCTTGAGCACGTAAACGTAGTCTTCATCTATGAAAACGAGGGTGAAGTACAAGCTCTGTCGAACAAAATAATAACCCTCCTACCATCGTTCGGCAAGCACCTTGCAGCTTCAAAGTGCAGCCATGCCATAAAACATGCAGTCTCTGGACAGATACCTTACAATTCAGGGGGAAGCGCTGAAGGTTGCAGAGAATTGTGCATACCTCGGTGGCTGTGTTAGCTCTGACGGAAGCGTGTCTGATAATCTCAGTGTAAGAATATCAAAAGCCAGAATGGCGTTCGCTAATTTGTGTCACTTGTAGCATCGAAAAGGCATTCAACCCGGTGCCAGGAACCCAAGTGCCAGGCTACAGTAAGGGCTGTATTGTTGTATGGTTGTGAAACAGGGACACTGCAGAAATGATGTTGGGTGTTTCCAGTTTTTTAACCACTGATGCCTCAGATGCACTGCTGGTGTCGGTGGCATCAGCGAATTAGTAACGAGGTAATAAGAAGACGGATGTTCGGTTGTGCGGCAGGTACTTCAACCAGGGAAAATATTCAGCATATCAACTGCGGTGCTTGGCCATGTGATAAGCACGCCGAAATACCCTCTACCGAGACTAGAGTTGTTCTCTGCGCCTCCTTCAGAATGGCGGAAACCGCGAAGTGGACAACGTATAACTTGGAAGAAGGGTAAGAAAGAGGGTAAGAAGGATTTGGGTGTTGTTGGTGTAGTACACTTCCCAGGATAGGGTCACCTTGACCTCTCCTATGCCTGACCAGAAAAGATGGCGGCTGACCGATGTCAGTGGCGTCCGTGTTGTCCGTTTATTTCCAGAATCTCTGACTGAGCGATTCGAGGTGTAAGCACATTGCGATAGGCTATTACTAGGTCCCCCCCTCATGCACTTTTTTCCAAACGTCAAATATGATTAGATAAACTTTGTGGTTGTACGACAGTGAAGCATTACTGTCAACACTGATGTTGCTTTCTCTGATGATGACAGTGAGTCGTCCGAACCCGACCTACGTAAGGACAAACTGTTAACCCAGACTAATATCAACAGGTTTCCGTATCTTCGTCTAAGATCGGAAACAAGCCGTAATGTGAAGTGAACTAAAGCATAGAAGATGACCTTGGCCGGGGATGGTCTGTATATGGACAGAACTGATTTTCTTGCGAACTAACAACAACGGTGCTGACGATTATGATCCTCCAAAGAATTCAATAGGGCCTCGTGAAGCAACGTAGTGCACAGGGTGTCTGAAGAAAGTACTTATTTTTCGAATACGAGACACAGTGGGTGTCGCAAGCATAGTTCAATGGGTAGCTGCGATACGCAAACCGTTGCACCACGATAAGGTCAAGTCTATTCACGACAGACTTTTTCAAAAATGCATCATAATTGTAACTTAAAAATATATGGCGGTGCTAAGCGAACTAGAGCCATCGGCATCACCGTACCGCTTAGTGCCCGAGTGACAAAAGGTACCGCGCTCGGATAAGTAGAAACCCTGGCTGGCTTTGTTGACCAGCTAGGGAAATCGGTTAGGAGTTATAAATTTCGACCGCACTGCGCAGTTCACTGCACTTTAACTCTGTTATAAACCACTTAACGACAAGTTTGTCGCATCGACCGGCGTAGCCAAGCCAAACCGGCACGATGGCTTACCAGGACTTAGTAAGTGAGGAAATTGATATATAAGAGCTGTATACGTCCCAAAACATCATGAACGATGAGGCAGTAGTTATGCGATAGTAGCTACGTGATTAAAGTCATCAAAGCCATCACCTACAGTAATTCACTAGCGTTAAGTGGTGGTAAGTGTTAATTATCCCAACTTTTATAGAGTCTAGTTGAGAACCGAAGAGAGGCAACGCTGGATGTGATCAATATTTGGATTAACAGTGGACAGTGAAGTAAATTCACAGTGAAGCAAACACTCAAGGCATATAGCGTGAACCAAACCACACACTAACACCAAGCCAACGTTTAGTACGTATCACCGATTGACTACCTATGTGCACTTACGGCAAAAAGGGCAGGATCTAAGAGCCTGATATTGCTTTAGCCCTCGCGGCCCCTTCGGAGTGCGTTGGAGCTACGCAGCGGAAGGGGGACATAGCTGAGAATTTGATNAGCTACGCAGCGGAAGGGGGACATAGCTGAAGAATTTGATATTTTGACTATACCAGCCTCCTTCTGAATGCCATTCCCATTAGGATGGGCTTTCAAGTTCACTCGTTTGAATTTGTCGAATCAAGCCAAAATCACACGAGTCAATGGTAAGAGTAAACTGAACCTGTATCTGAATAAACAAATTCACGAGCTTTGGTGTGTTGACCTAGAGTTCACCCGTGATTGAGCTATAAACGCAAGTGGCAGGACGATGGATCAGAGAAAAATCAGACTACAAAACGCATGGGTAGCTGAACGGCGAGTAAATTAGAACGCGTACTACTAAAACGCCAAATCATGCAGCGTAATTGATATTGTGAACATTTCTGGGGAACTACTAGATTCAGTATTAGCTAGTTAGCTCGGAAAACATACCAAACAGCGTCCTTTGGGTGTAACAGTTAGTTTTGCTGGAACGATTTACATGCACAGATATAAGTGGAGTTGTGATGTATAGTGTGTATATATATATATATAATGATACTGATGACAACAATGTTATATACCTTGTTGACACGAGGTGATTATAGCCCAGTTGACTTAACTTAGTAGAACTAGGATAATGAGAGCGACACTGTTGTGATTCAAAGCTATACCGTTTCTCCGTCTGACGCCACTCAATGCTAACAATCTGCTAAGTCCAACTTTTTCAAAGTTGGACTTCCCTTCCTCCCTAGAAACTCAGCCCTTCTCTTTGTGTGAGGATAAGTGGAAAGAGCGCTCGTGGACAAAACAGCACACAGAGCGATAACAATTCGAAAACTTTCGAAAAACTTTGAGATGGAATAATAGCTGTCAGCTAGTCAACGAGGAAATCAAATGTTCCCTTTTGTATAGAGCTTCCCAAATATACATGTAGCCACAAGAATAATACTGAATCTTCCTGTTTTAAAAGCTTTAAGACAGCGTTCAGTAATGAGAAACGATAGGTACAAGAAATTTTCTGTACATATCGGGCGGGAAAATGATAACTGTGACACCGATAGCTAGTGAAGGTAGGCGCGGTGAAGCAAAACTGACTTGCATCTGGCAGGGCGCCGGATGGCGGAACCCACGCTAATTCCATATATTTTAGATTATCAAGATAGGCACTAGGTCTGGGGCACGCAGTTTTCAGTGAATGGTTGAACACGTAAAATAACCCAGGCCCCAAGGAACTGTGAAAAGGAAAGGACAGGTTGTAAAGTTAAGCATTTTTTGTCGGTTCGTCTAACTCTCCAGAGCCTCCGAGGTTGTTAGATACCTCTTGATGCAGCTTTTACCTTTGTTCCACTACTGAATGAATACTGCTGAAGAATCCGACTGCAGTACGTAAAGCTCGTTTGTGTTGGATACTGGGCACAATAACGATGAACAGTGGGTGTCATGTCCAAAAGTAGGATTACCTAGTACTGTATCTGTCTAGCCTGAGCCCTACCTGGGGTGCAAACCACTAATTCTTTGGGAAGGTTGTGCTTTGTACCGCGTCGGTTCCGTGGAGGGGTTCATGGCGTTCAAATGGCACGATAATCTTATTTTGAAATCTCGATCGAAGATAAAGACAAGCGTCAATAAGACCTGTTACAGACAGGCCAGGTAGAAACGGTGACACAAAAATCGTCCTTTGTATCAACACCAGTATCTAAACAAAGCAATGTGGACTCACCGCTTCACTGGTCTCTAAATGGTGTTGGTAAATATTCCAAATATTAGCAGCAATCGCTGCTTTGGACCGCTCACTCTCGTCAGTAAGGCTGCTGAACGCCAGTAATACCCCTTCAGGATTGAATAACATCGCACTTCGAATCCCACCAGTACTTAGTTTATTCAACGCTGTTGTTAATGCACGAGAACGAAGCATCGTAGAACTCTAAAAAGTAAACAACTCGCCAAAGTACAAAAAGAATAGACACGAAACGGACAGAAATGTATAACAATAAGAAGATAAATTACGCAGATACCGAAACCACTTAGAGCTAATCGGAAATTGTTCAGCAGGAGTTCAGAATTTCTCGGACGATCTGACAGGAGTCCTGAGACAGACACGTCACTCGATCGACACAAGCAGTACAGTCAGTGGGTTGTCATTTAAACCGTTGAGCAAACCAAAAAATCGCTAAGGTATAAAATCATTCGCGTGCTACGACCTGGTAATTCAACTGCATACAGTAAGCGCTGATAAAGTAGTGGTAACACGATCACCTCGATTGTCGGGGTTGGTATTAGTTACCGTAACAGCAAAGCAGCCGTAAAATCCGTGTATTCCAAATCTCTTTCATCCATAGCAGTTGTTATGTTGGAATTCTGTTCTCCTCAACCGAGTATTGGACTTTCTAGCACCAAGGTTCTTGCGAGCCAATGGTTGCTCGGACAAATGAGGTGCTCACATCAATATATCCGAAATATCCATATTTGATTCAATGGGACAGACTGGCGTTAAGCAAAGAAATGTTTATGTGGTGACCTGGTGTAGAACCACATCGACGAACAATCGACGTTTGACGCAACCTACATGTCACTTTTGCCAATGAACGGGGGGACGAAGAGGAATATGAAATCGTTACAAGAGAATACGACATGAAGCAATCCCCTAGTGTGGAAGTGGTATGTAGGTATCATGGTAAGAGTGATAAAAATTTATTCAGAGTCCGACACCGGTTTCGACTTGTTTAAAGTATATCAGAAGAACAGTGTTCCCGGATTTCAACCAATATTTAGATCCTACGTGAACACTCTTATCTCGCGCAAAAAGAACTCAAAACAGTGAGAACAGAGGATTCCTTGGAGGGTCAAAGAAAAAACGGAAAACACACTAACACGGTGAACAGCGAGCGGGACAAGGAATTGAGTAGAGGCAATGAACGTGTTGGGTCAGTCTATTCACAACACATACCTGTTTGCGCAATATGGGCACGAGCGACGCATGTGGATCGAATATGAATCAGTTCAGGCTGTGGAGATATGAAATAGGCAAATGGAGAACACAGCATCACCACACCTCCTTCGGATGCTTCACAGGAGTACAGAGAACACCCTTCAAATACAATGTACTATATACAGTTGCAATTAGCACAAGACGTCTCGAGATATGTGTCATGAATGGTGTGAGCTTAGAAACACCTTATTCCGTTAGGCTATAGCGACCCAGTCACTCAAAGACTTGACTGTTCAGCCCACAGTCGCTCACTGGATCACGGGACTTGTCACTTTTTCATGCCCACAACCAAGTCACATTAAGGTGGCTCATCAGACGTCGATTGTCTGCACCGTCTAGTGAGCGTACCAACCACTCACGTGCTGACGCGCCCACGTACGCGCAAACGGACCCACATATAGGGAAACCGAACGCAGTCAGCACACAGACTCGCGCGCACGCGCAGGGAGCAAGGAGTCAGTCAAACACCCCCAGTCCACGGACAACTATGGAATACGTGTAGCAGCCAAACTGCAGAGGAAACACGTTCCCACCGTCCGGACTTTCACCAAGGGACTCCCACATCCGATAAGTTCTTTTTTTACTCGCTTCCATTTTCGCGTTGTATTTATTTTTATACGTGTCGCAACCACACTAAAAACCTCTATTAGTGCACATACACCTGAAATGTACCACGGCAATCCTCACAGTGCACTAATAAGGCCGAGGAACGTTTGCAAATAGTCTAACTTCAGAAATGCGCACAGTAGATGATCGACGGATGGCCTTACTGTGATATTATGAGAAATATGTAAACGAACTAGCTTAGCTGGTGTAAATATTCCAGTTCATATTGTGCTTGGTATGTTTGTATTCGCTTACTTTCTCCTGGATCGGCACTTCATGTGGTTGTGAAGGCCCCACCGAATCACATTCGAAGTTGTTGTTTCGGTTGTTGCAGTGTGATGTGATTCAGTAAGTTGCCAAGGTTGGAATTGACAAATTCTCCCAAGCCTCATCTGAGATTTGGATTGCTTATATAGAATCCTTGAAGTGGGACTTGGTCTTTCAGTCTTACAATCAGCAGTCGCATTGTACGGCACTATTAGGATGTATGATGCCGCTGCTGTCCAAGACCTGAAGGAACCCACTGCTTTGAAATTGAGGATTCTTATTGGAAACGGTCCCCTCTAGCAAACCACATCCCGCAAACAGATATCCACGACATGTAATTACTGTTGTTGTGCGAATTACACCAGAAGCCACTTATTGTAGGAGCACATTGCAATCAACGTGTACTTTTTTCGTAGTGGCGCTTTTGCAAATGAATCCGGAATATCAATTTCAAACTTTTCTCACGGTTGCATTGGATATCCAATGGGTTGAATGAGCACATGAAGAAACCTCGTGCTTCTGTTCGGATGCCGGTATGCATACCAGTCAGGACCAGCAGTTTTCACACAAAGTTACTTCAGGCCACCGGCCGTACTCGCGCTATAATTCGAACGGTCTCGGGATACCTAATATGAGCACACTGTGGAATGACAAGACGTTTTCCGCGCACAAAGCAACCAAGCTTAGCTTATCACAAGTGGCAATGCTGGTGGCGACCTAGTTCGATGTGGCCATGAATATGTGATATATTTAGGTGAGTTTCTCACATATTTATCCTCTTTAGTGTAATCTTGTAATCTCTCAAGGGTTACAGTTGACTCGCCGCTGTGAAGAGATCATCTGTACCTCCTCCGGATCCTAATTATCTCCGTTATTTGCAGTTGGAGGTTTGGACAGCTCCGACTATTTGATTCTGGCAGTCGGCAGAATACATTAATTAACAATTGTCTGTTGGATTTCTTAAGTACCACTGATCCGACTGCAGTGAGATCATTATAATATATCAATAGATAACAGTGGAGTAACGACATGGGCACTTTGGTTTCGGTTGCGGAATCCTAAGCGGGGACACATACCACGCAGGTCAAAATGATGCGCGATATAACCTGGAGGGACAATTCCTTGATCCAATATATGTGGGGTAGGGCAGGACTCAGCAAATGATAGCAGGTGGGTTGACAGTAGTGATACTAAGTCATGCAGCTCGAATTTACTGATCAGAAGGTCCGTGGTTCAAATCCGACCTCCGCCACTCGACTTCCCCTGTCTAGGCTTGGGAGACCTGGTAGTATCCCAGCCCTCGTGCTTCCTTCAGGTGGCATGGCAGCTAGGCACCGGAAGGATGCTACAACTGAATACCACTACTACTTAAGTCATGCAGCGCAGTGTACATCGTGGCATAGTTTGTATAGATTAAATTCAGAAATCCAGTTGGCCGCTTCGTCAGATTCGTTCAAGTTGGGTTAATCGATATGTTGCGCGAGATACTCGGGCGGTATAATGGGCAAGTTGGGAAGAGATAGTACTCGGCATTGGGGACCAATTGGTACCTTCGGGACTACGTGGCTTGGGTTTGACGACGGGGGCGTTCTTTTGGTGTGCGCTTAAGTGGCCGATTCCCAGAGCCAAAGCGGGCGGAAAGATGCTGAAGTTTGACATCTGGATAGTGAGTTTGAAGCCACTGTAGTCGGTGGGCTTACTGTGGCCTCATGTAATGAGAGCTTCGACCTCAAAATTTCAGGTGGGAGGTTAGGAAATATAGGGACACCATTGTAAGTTGCTTTGAAGAGGTAGCGAACTTTGACAACACTTCTCCCTGCTGATGAAGCGGTGACAAATAGTTGCCGAGCAACGGTCGGGCGCTTCCCGGAAGAAGAGTTTGGTAAACTCCAGGTGGTGTTGCATGTTAGTGTGGTGATCAAACCGGGTGTGGTCTGTTCGGGAACTTCCTCAGTAGACTGCAATATCGTATGGTGAGGTTTTTGGTCCCGGTTTCAAAATCGGCAGGAATGGGAGCAGTCTCTCGAATGATGAGGCTGGTAATGTCGAATAAGCATCTTCGAACACCATTCGATGAATGAAGGCAACAGTACTGTCATGTAAGTCCAGAGGACTTGATTTGTTTCTTCGAAAATTTAAAGGACTGTAAAGGGAAGGCAGATGGATTATTTACAATTATCGGTTTGTGTCTGTGATAACGATGGTAGTGCTCCACACTTGTGACTACATCACGTCTGCTGACCATGTTATCTAGCCTGGAGAAAACAGATTTTTAGCTGAACCCAAACAACTTTTCACGAAAAGCGAGGTTACTACCTTGGTCAAGTTATCACCAAGCAGTTTTATGTGGTCCAACAAGATTAGCACGGTAAGAGAGTGATTTTATCTATCAAGCGTGAGATTTTTTGGGTTGGCATGGTACTATCGCTTTGTTGTGCATCACCTCTCCAAAATAGCGCGTCCACTCGCAGTACTCACCGAGACTCGCAAAGAATTTCAATGGTCTCCCGACTGTGGAAAGGTGCTTGATACACTGAAGTTATCTCTAAAAACACCGCCGACAACAGAACTCCCCAGCGCAACACCGAATGGTTGTTTATAGTGAACACCAATGGGGCGGTGAGCGATACTTTACTGTCACCAATGATCCAGGACGATTTGGAGCAAGCGGTCGCTTGCACTAAGCATTTGAATAGGAAAAGGCGAAACTGCTGCACATGGAAGAAATGTTAGCACCTGGTCACTTTGCCGCGCATTTACGGCACCAATACCTGGGAAGGAGGATTTCGGTACGTGAAAAGTTTGCTTCACTGCAGTGGTCAACGAACCTTAGGGACAGGGAAGGCCAGATCATGGGATAGTGAAAGATGTCACAAGAGTACGGCATCGAATTATTCGCGGACCGGGAATCCGGCGTTACAACGCGAATCCAGTCACACCAATCAATGCAGGATCATAGAGTTTGGGGTTTACCCGAATAGAACTTAACACGTTGGTTTAAGTCAACAGATTGCCCCAAGTATGAACCGTTTTCCTCTTCCCATTGGACTTCGCTCACCTGAAGTCCGAAAAATGAATAAATGAAAATCGTTCAGCTTTAGCACTCTTTCGGGGCTACTGCTGTTACCACAACCGCACGAAGAATCTATTGTCGTGTCATACTAACCGTATCGACCCGATAAGTTATGTTTGAGTAATTATACATTGCCACTGAACAGCGCTTTAGCTGTCACTGATCTGTGTTCATATCGTTGACATCGCGTTCACGTAGAATCCGTGTGAGACGCCGGAGACTACGTAATAAAAAGCCTTAAACCTTAGGCAAATATGGAGTGTGACTGGAGCAAAATTTGAAAACACTGTTGCAGTGCACACACAAATATAACGTAATGTTTTCCATTAAAATCCTACTTTGAACACCTCGTATTTTGCAAAAAGGCCGACAGTTGTGGTAATAGTGGTAGATCAAAAGGATTTCTCAACCGGCCCAATGGAGCCCGTGGAAAGCATGGTGGCCCCCATGCACATAAAAAATCCAGAATTCATACCAATTGTATAAGCCATAATTTTAAAATTATGGCTTATACAATGTGAGGCACAATTCACCATTGCCAACACACCCAGGGAAACGCGGTGTACAACTTGTATCAAACACCAAAAACCGGCTCAAAATGCATGTACAGCCCGTCGTATATGAAGTGTATGAGGCGAAAGCACTCCGAAGGATCCGACGCCTTCCGGATGAGGCATTGGCAACCGGCACTCGGTGAATACTTGACCATGATTGGCTATTGGGCCCACATTTTCAGCCAATCATGATGCTGAACCAGCAGGCACCCTGCATTCTGGTCAGCCGCGTGCTGGATAGACTTCTTGACCATAACAGTTCCTTACTGCTAGCTATAAAGCGGTTTTGGTGCGGGATTCCGCCTGAAATAATTCGTGAAGAAAGGTGAATTTCACAGCTCCCGGACGATGATAGGAAACAATGACAAATGTCGCGTCACATTCACCAGCAGGCGGGCGACAAGGCCGCCTCGTAATCTGCACGGACATACACTTCAAAAGACAGTTCGGCTGGGTACCTGCAAAGCAGGCCATGGATATAGCATTTACTAGCGAAAGAAATGTAGATCCTGCCTCCAAAAAATAAGCGAAACCCATGTGAATACTGCCG